AAAACAAAGCTAATCAAACTGCTCTCTGTTGGATAGTGTGTTAAGCCATCATCTTGTTTTCTGGAATTGAACCAAGGTTGAGTAATTCTCCTATTTATGGGCTACTATGGAAACTATTTTGATTATTCAGTCTAAAAATTTAGGGGTTTTGTCCATAAAAGAATTCTTGCACTGTTATGTAGAGCAGTGCATCTCAAACTTTAATATGCATAAAAATCACCTGGGCATCTTGTTAAATACCCTTTCTGATTCAGTGTGTCTGGGATGGGGCCTGAGACTACATTTGTAACAAGCTCCCAGGTGATGCCGATGCTGCTGGTCTATGGACCACTCTTGGGAGTACCAGGGATACAAAGAACTTGATCTCAGTTTAGTACTTTCTCAGGAGGAAATAAGACAAGGTGTAACCAACTGTGAACACCTTTATCAGAAACATGGTTATTTTGTGCATCCCTTTGAGAAGAGAAGCCCCTCTTACTTTTTGTCCAGTTGAGGAAGATTTTGGACCTTAGACAAAATGACACTGAAGCCTCTCTAAGTTTATAGAGAACAATCTCCTTGTAGATAGTTATACTCCACATCTGAGTTCCCACCTGAGGCTAAATTAGTGGTCTCCTTCACTGTACACTCATGAGAGAAACAGAATGGAAAAGGCAAACAACATATTATTATTGTGACAATAGTTTTGACCTCATGGATCCTCTGAAAGCCTCTTGGGGTCCTTGCAGGGATCCCTGGGTCACACTTTAAGAAATGCTGGCAGCCCTGGCCAGTTTCACTCAATGGTTAGAGCATTGGCCTGTGGACAGAAGGGTCATGGGTTCGATTCCCAGTCAAGGGCACGTACCTGGGTTGCAGGTTAGATCCTGGCCATGGTCGGGTTGTTCGGGAGGCAGTCAATTGATATCTCTCTCATATTGATGTCTCTGTCTCTCTCTCTCTCTCTCTCTCTCTCTCTCTCTCTCTCTCTCTCCTCTCTCCCTTCCACTGTATCTAAAAATCAATGGAAAAAATATGCTCAGGTGAGGATTAACAACAATAAAAAGAAATGCTGGCATACAGAAAACTACACATTGTATGTTCACATGTATTGTAAATTTACAATGAGAGGAGCCAGTGAATTATTATCTAAACCATAGCAGTTTTGGTTCCTCCCCATTAGTACAAGCCCTTTTTAATTGTCCTGATTGAAACTGTACTCTTGATATTCCAGACAAAGCACATAGAAATAGAAAGGAAAGAAATTTGTTTAAAATACCCACATTGGGCAAGTAACTAGAAAGTTTATATTTGAAAGAGGTTATAGCAATGAATGGTGGGCAAGGTGCAGAGAAAGAGAGCACTTAGAACAAGACAAGACATGGATCTCAGCACACGGTCAAAAGACAGTTTTCTGCTGCAACAGCTTGGCCCAGTTAAAAAAGGGATTGGGCCCTGGCTGGTTTGGCTCAGCGGTTAGAGCGTTGGCCTGCGGTCCAGAGAGACCCGGCTTCAGTTCCCGCTAAGGGCATGTACCTCAGTTGCAGTTTGTCCCCATCCCTGGTTGGTCATGAGGGTGGCAGCCACTCGATGTGTCCCTTTCACGTCGATGTTTCTCTCTCTCTCTTTCTCTTCCTCTCTCTCGCTCCCACTCTATCTGAACAAAAAATGGAAAATGTCCTCAGTTGAGGATAAAAAAAAAGGGATTGGAGAAATTGGTTTAGTAAACAGAATTATACTTTTAAGAGTTATCTTTCTGTTACATAATTCTAATAGATTATAAACTTACATATTGACATTCCCTTTCCCCATTTTCCTCATCTGTGTTATTACTGACCAAGAGGAACCTTGGACTAGAAGAACAGACTCTGTGAGCTGAATCACAGCTCCTGAGCAGCTCCCTGCTTATACTGTGTTTACTGTTCTGGTGCCTAACAAGAGCCAGGAGGCTTGGAATGGCCTGGGAGTAGTGAGAAAGGAACAGCCAACATTGACTGTAGTTTTTAATGTTACTGAATACCTAAAACATGCTAAGTGATTTTAAGTTATAGAGAGGTAAAATTTCACTTTATACTTAAGCTCAATGACTGAGCATGGATCAACTAACCCAAGGGTTACTCCCTTAACCAGCTAGCTCAGTCAAGATTCCGGGGGGAGCCAGAAACGAGGAAAACTTGAAAATTATGAGAGAGGAACTTTTACCTTCAACCATAATCTTGTCCCAGCTGCCCTAATAATGCTGAAATCATTTGCCGTAACCCTACTTGAGTACCAGCAGTTACAGGAATCATGCCAAAGGTACACTTAACCATGAACTGACAAAAGAGGATGCCACTAATACAGGAGAGTAAATCTGTTATTTAGTAAGAGGGCAAAAATAAAGCTAAACTTGAGATTAGCCTTAGTGATAACACTAGGTCAAAATTAACTTGATTTGAGCCTTTTAACCCTTAAGGTCTCAGGAACACAGAGAGTTTAAAAAAGAAAATAGGGAGGAGGAATAATCTCACCAGAAAGGTTAAATTGGAATCACACGTATTCATTGCTGTGGCAAAAGATACAGCAATCTGGGTTTGGTACAGCCATCTTTCAAGGCTTAATAACCAGTTAAGATTCTGAACCCAATTCCGACGTGTATGTGGGTGGAGGGCAAGTTTCCACACACCAACAAGCACTCTCCGAAAATCTCTGGTTGTTCTACAACTCAATTCTGACACTGTCTACCTGTTGACAGCATCAGATTCCACAGGGTAAAGACTGTCTCTTCCTCTCCACTCAGATGCCAGTCACAAGTCCAGCTGTCACCTGTGCTACTGACCAACTGGCTATAAATCAGAACTTCCCATTACCCTCTTCTTAGTTTCTATTAATTTGTTGGAACAGCTCACAGAACTCAGAAAAACATTTTACTTACTAGATTACTGGTTTATTATAAAAGAATATAACTCAGAAACAGATGAATGGAAGAGACGCATAGGCCAAGGTATGGGGAAGGGGCAAGGAGCGTCTATGCCTCTCTGAGTCGGACTCACTCTCCCAGCTCTTCCATGTGTTCACCAACCAGGAAGCTCACCAAACCCTCTCTTTTAAGGGGTTTTACGGAAGCTTCATTGCACAGGCAAGATTGATTAAATCATTGATCTTTGGTGATTGAACTCAATCTCCATGCCCTCTCCCCTCCCTGGAAGTGATGGTGGTGGGAGGGCTAAAAGTTTCAGCTCTGGAATAACCTGGTTGCTTCTCTGGGCAATCAGCCCCATCAAGTAACTTCATTCAAGTAACAAAAGATACCTTTGTTGCTCTCATCATTTAGGAAATTCCAAGGGTTTTAGGAGCTGGAAAAAGGACGAAGACCAAATGTACTGTATTTCTTATAAATCACAGCATCACACCTGAAAGCTAGTTAGTTAGGTTGTATCACAAGCTTGCTTGAATTTTCTTGCTTCCAGTAATAATTTCTCAGCCATATTTTCTCATGTAACACTCCTTGGTTGAAAAGAAAGCATTTTGGTTCCTAAACATGTGTATGAATCTCAGTTTCCTATTCTTAACATCCTTAAGCTCTAGCACAAGTACTGCTAGTGTAATAAACCCCTAACATCCCTCTCTTCTGCAGTAACTCTAATAATGGTCACAGATAGTGAGCTTTCAGCAATGATTTAAGCAAAAGACTGAGAAACTAATGCTATACTGTTTTCATAGGATACATTTTATTATAAAAGTTACTATTTTAGGGCTTTCATGTGCTAGATAGAATTAATTAGAATCTGTTAGATATAATTCCACCAAAATTCTACTTTTCATTATAATTATCAAAATATATTGAATACCTACTACAAAAATTATGTTTTCTTTATGGCTGCTTAAATTCCTTTACTTGTCTTCAAAGAGCAGATAAGCATTCTATTTTGGCTCACCTGTGGGTTGTTAATCATTTTAGGTGGTTTGAAATTTCCCTATGTGGAGTATAATGTTTTAATATAAAATATTCTTTGTTTCTATATCGGTATCTGAATTTTTAAAAACTTCACAGGTGCTTACCTCAACTGAAACTTATAAAAAACAAGCTTCTTAGAAATGTTCAAGATAGCTTCCTAAACAATTATGCCAACTATATATACATGGATTGAGGAAAAATAGCAGTAAGTACTGCTACTTATGAAGTAGTTAGATAAAATAAAGATTTAGAAATATGGAATTGATTGAATCATTTAACTTTTAAATCACCTGATAAAATATATCTAGTTATAATGGATAAGAAATTTATATCACTATTAGCTTAGTTTAGATCATAGTTAAAATTGTTCTTATAATAAGAAAGATATAGCTGGAAACAGTTTAAAACAAAACTTCAGAAACACATAAGGTACACATGGGAGGTAGGATTTAAAAAATATAAAGATTTAGTGATGGGAGAAAATGATACTAGCTTTGGTTAGAAATATCATCTCTGTTTTTCTAACAGAAAAAAAGACAAACTGCTAGAAAATCAGAAGTACTAGGAATCCAAAACATCTTTTATTTTACTAAATATCCTGTTATAAGGAAAAGTAACCTTTCTAAATAATCTTAGTTTTAAAGCACACACAAGTGAATATTTTATCCTTGTTATTTTTTCCCTAATTTTTAAATTTGCAATGCTCAATAACTTAAACATTTACATGACTGAGTCTAAAAATTGTTTTCCATGCCCTATCTCAGAGAAAATTTTTCAGAAAATATCAAGTGTAACATTTGCTCTAAGCTCTTTGCAGATGTTCTTATCTGGTTAAGAAAGATTTCTTTTGCTCGTACTTTGCAATAGTTTTCCCACGAATGGGTATTGCAGCTCCTTTATTTTGTTAGTAAAGTGAAATACGTTATCCATTTCAAATGTTAAACCAAATTTTCCTTTCTAAAATATACCCTTTGTCAAGTCTAACAAATAAAAATCATTTTCCATATTGCTTCCTTATGGTTTATGTTTAGTTTTTAAAACTAGTGAAATACCTTAGAGTATACATGTCTTTTTGCCTCCCCAGCAATCGTGTGGAAGCATGGACAAGAGATGTTGCGTTTTTACTCAGACAAGAAGGCAGACCTATGGTTCATCTTATCCCTGACAAGACTAAAGTAAGAGTCATGGAAAAGGACTGGGAGAATACAGACACAGCAGTAAACTGGTTGAGAAAAGAAGCAATTAATTACACTCAACCTTTTGTTCTGTATTTGGGATTAAATTTACCCCACCCTTATCCTTCACCATCTTCAGGAGAAAATTTTGGATCTTCAACATTTCAAACATCTCCTTATTGGCTTAAAAAAGTAAGTGCATGTATGTTCTCAAAACCAGAAGTTAACATTATATCTGTATATTACTGGTATTTATTCACTGTTTCTTTTATTATCACTTTTAAAGAAAAATTTAAATATTGTATATTCTCATTAAATCAAATTGACCAGTTGACAAAAACTAAAGGGGCAATTTTACAGGAATAAAATAAGTGTTAACACTTAGAAACCTGCTTCTGAATTGAATACATTTGCATATAATACATCTATTAAAAGAGACAATGAAAGACATTCTCTAAGGAGTACAGGCAGTGGCCACTGCACAGTTCAGGACCGTGAAAATAACCATACAAGCTGAAACTATCCAAAGAGATCCTAATACCCAACAGGGAGAATGACCATTTTTCTGGGACTCTTAAAACATTTGCTAAAACATTTAAAATCTCTTTTTTGAGGTTATAAATATATAGGGAAATGAAAAACAGTGAAACTATTTAATGCACTGTAACCAAAAACAATAGAAGCATTGAGAATTCAAGTGTTTTGCTTTTTTGTAAAAAAAAAAAAAATGTATCAAAAGTATTTTGAAAAGTGCTTAGACACTTCTTCAAACAGTACAGACAAATGGCCTTGAGATATATGAAAAAATGTTCAACATCACTAATCATCAGAGAGACTCAAATTAAAATGACTATGAGGTATCACCTCACACCTGCCAGAATGGCTGCCATCAGCAAATCATCAAACAACAAATGCTGGCGAGGGTGTGGAGAAAAGGGGATTCTAGTACACTGCTGGTGGGAATGCAGACTATGCCACTATGGAAATCAATATGGTGTTTCGTCAAAAACTTAAGAATTGAACTGCCATTTGACCCAGTGATCCCATTTAGGAATATATCCTAAGAAGCCTGAAACACCAATCAGAAAGAATATATGTACCCCTATGTTCATAGCAGCACTATTTACAATTGCTAAGATCTGGAAACAGCCCAAGTGTCCATCCATAGATGAGTGGATAAAAAAGCAGTGGTACATATACACAGTGGAACACTATGCAGCTGTTAAGAAAGAAAGATCTCGTATCCTTTTTGAGATGGCATGGAGGGACCTGGAGAGTATTATGCTAAGCGAAATAAGCCAATCACAGAAAGACAAATACTACATGATCTCACTTATGTGTGGAATGTAATGAACAGAAAAATCTGATGAACAAAATAGACCCAGAGACATAGAAAGGAGTACAGTTCAGACTGACAAACTTCAGAGGAGTGGGGCAAGGTAGAGGGATGAGATAAACCAACATGTGTAACCAATGGACATAGACGACAATGCTTGGGCGTGGGGGGGGGGCGGGTCAGGATAAGGAGGAGGGTGTTGGGGGGTGGGGAGAAACATCTATAACAAAAATAAATAAATACAAAAAAAAAGTGCTTGCCTTCTCTGTATAATTTAGGAACAAGCATCTTCTCTATTTCTTTGCATATCTAAATTTAGATTACCTTCCCACATTTTGCCCTTTGCACTTTCAATGTACTGATATATTTCTGAGTTTTTTCTTGTGAAGATTTTTGCCACTGTCTCTTCCACTAGGATATGTTTGTTCTTTCTTCACAATGACCTTACTCACTTACATAAACGAGTGTGTCTTCACCAAGTTCCTCTGCCTGCATATCTAGCAGTGTCATTGTTACCATGCCAGCTATTTAGAAGAAATAGTTATAGAAGATAACTCCAATTAATGTCTGATTCAAATTTCACTTCCAGTGTTACCACTTTTTATTTCTTTATTGTACATTCATCTTTGTTAACCAATTCCCTCTTTGGATTATCCATTTTTATAAAATATCACATGGATTTATCACTAGGAAACGGAGGCAGCACAACTACACCGTGTGCTGTCTGTGGGTATAATGAATAAAAGGTGTGCAGTGACCAGTTGTGACAGTGAAAGAAATGGCCTGATTAGTCACTGATACCCATCTTTCATTCATATAGTGATTTGTAGACTAAAGAGCTAGCAGCATGTGACTGTGAAAGTTTGTACTTTATGTACTAACTCGCCGTTAATATACCTTGGTAACTGAAATCTGAACCCCATGGTTGGAAGACTGGCGTTATCTAACTAAACAGTGGTAACTGCAGTCTATGCATGGCTGAACCATGCAATGGGAGGACTGCCTGTGTTTTGAAATGTGTCGTCTTGTTTATGGCCATACCACCCGGAACACACCTGATTTCATCTGAAATGTGTTGTCTTAAATCAAATTTAAGTTACTTGAAACACTCTTATCAGAAACACTATTTAATGCACCCTATTTTAAAGGAAATATTGTCAAAATTCCAAATACATTATGTTTTCTTAAAATAGTTCTAACTGGTTCCATCTTAAAAAATTCATCTGGAGTTAGTACTAGCCTAATGAAATGAGTCAAATAACTTCTAAGTAAATAGTAAGTAGATAATTGAATTTTTAAAAGTTACTTGAATATATGATTTAAATCTTAAGTCTTAACTGTTTTCACCAAAACTGTATGCATTTATATATATGAAAAAGTTGTATTTGTTTTTAACAGACATTTGGCTGTCTCACTAGATATTGCCATTTTTACTTTGATCCGTTAGAGAAAAGGAGTCTACATTCTTAGGGTGTTGATCTGAAATCTGAATTGATCACACAACTATATTAAAATGCTTGGACCCTTTTTCTGTACTAGAATACTTTCTAATATAGCATATAGCTCATGTTATTTTCATTGAACTATATAATTTTTAAAATAATTTTCACAACTGTCTCACTATATATATAGTTATTAATATCGACCTTCTGTTAGTACTGGGATTAACTATTATTTCTAATTTATGTATTTGATTTACTATTTTCAGTACATAATTCATAACCATTCTTTTCTACTATCATAAATAATTAAAGTATATATGTTTAGTTCACCATACATACTCGTTGGATGAGAAGAACATTACTACTTTGTGTTTTTTCCCTTTTCAGGTGTCTTATGATGCCATCAGAATCCCAAAGTGGTCGCCTCTATCAGAAATGCACCCTATAGATTATTACTCTTCTTATACAAAAAACTGCACTGGGAAATTTACAGAAAAAGAAATTAAGAATATTAGAGCATTTTATTATGCTATGTGTGCTGAGACGGATGCCATGCTTGGTAGGTGGTATAATAATTAGTAATTACATGAAGAAATCATACAATATTTTTCTAGCAAACTATGATTATGCTGGTTGGTGACTTGAACATACAGCCTGAGATAAATAATTTCTTTTTTTTTTTTTATCCTCACCCGAGGACATTTTTTTTTTTTTTCATTTTTTGTTCAGATAGAGTGGGAGGGAGAGAGAGAGAGAAACATCGACGTGAAAGGGACACATGGAGCGGTTGCCACCCGCATGACCCAACCAGGGCCGGGGACAAACTGCAACCGAGGTACATGCCCTTAGTGGGAACCAAACCCGGGTCTCTCTGGACTGCAGGCTGACGCTCTAACCGCTGAGCCAAACCAGCCAGGGCCTGAGATAATTTCTTAATATCAGTTGCTTAGATACTTCACACGTATAAAAATTGGATAATTTGCATTATTAATAGTAAAATAAAAGCCTTTTCTATTTTATTTATTCATAAATTAATAAATGCTTAAATGTATTCAGACATAAAGAAAAGGTCACAGAAGACTATATCATCTGCTTAAAACAAAACCTTTTACCAGCTTCAATCAGTAATCAGTACAGGCATACCTCTTTATTGTGCTTCCCAGATGTGTTTTTTTACAAATTAAAGGGAAGACCCTCCATCAGCAAAAAGATTACAACTTTATTGTGATACTCACTTTATTGTGGTAGTCTGGAACCAAACCAGAAGCATCTCTGAAGTATGCCTATATTCAGCCAAACTCAGATACACATGTGACAGGTCATTGTAAGGCAGCTTAGGTTCTAAGAAATGAGACCGTGTAGTTGTAGAATCTTGTGACTTCTCCCAGACTTGTAATAACTGCAAAACAAATCAATTCTCCCCATGCCCTTCAGAGCAAGGCTTAAGTAAAGGTGAAGTCAGTTTCTCCATGTGTATTCTGGCCCAGAATCGTATTGAATTTCCTTCTCTAATTCAGCTCAAAACCAAACCTATCTCCATAAGATGATTGGCAAGAAAGTATTTTGCCTACTCACTTGTAGATTTATGGAAGTTTCCACTTCTGGTGGAAAAACCCTGGTTTAAAAATACATAGATTTTTATAACAAGTTCTTTTCCCAAAACCATATAATTTATTTTGCTGCACATTGGAGTAGAGCATAATCACATTAGTGAAGTATGGGTAGCACCTTTTCTGTATAAAGTAAAACTCAGGAGTGAACGAGTGAATGGCTGTTTCTTAAGAAAGCATTCATTGGGCAAAAATAGAAGAGTATAAAACAGAAAGCAAAATAGCCATATGGACAAATTATTTATAATGTAATAAGTATAATATGTATTGAAAGAATCTTAATGACTTTCCAGTTACTTGATCTAAAATGCACATACAATTTTAAGTAAGTCTCCTTCATCCTTAAATGCACGCAGTGTTGAATTGTATTTATATATTTTCTGATGTTAGTGATCTTCATCCATTTACACCCTGAAAATCTCTTTTGAATGTTCGCAGCTATCCATTCTTCCATGTCTACTAAAGCGAAATAGTATATAAAGTTCTGCGGGCAGTGTGGGAATACTACTCTTGAAGTCTCTTCAGGAAAAGAAATGCAGCAGCTCACTTCAAGTTAGAAAGGTTATGAAATATATTGCATCTTTGCTGTGAAATCTACAGCTGGTTTGGTCACCAAATAGTATTTATTACTGTTCACAATGCTTGTTCAACAAGCACTGAGTGTCTTAATGCTACTAGTAGTATTAAATTGCATATTATCAAGAAATCATGTATGAATATTATCATGTATGAATCAAACAACCTCTAGGCACATACTCCAACTGAGGACCTTATATTCACTGTTCCCTCCTCCTGAGATGCTCTTCCCTTTGCTTTTGACACAGCTGGCTATTGTCAGCCTTAGTTGTCAGCTCACATATCACCTCCTCAGGAGCATCTTCCCAACCACTCTAAGTTAGTATACCAACCCCAGCATCCGACTTACTTTATACCTTGTTTGCTTATGTCATAATCTTTCATTATTTTGTCTATTTACTTGTTTACTGTCCATTTCCCTTTAAGAATATGAGCTTCATGAAGGCAGGGACATTCAGTCTTATTCAACATTGCATTTTAGGGGCCTAGCTTTGCCTCCATAGTGCCTGCCACATACTAAGAACTCAGTAAACACCAACAATTATAATACATTGTTGTAACTACAGTAATACACAAGATGTAGGATCCTGGAGGACAGAGTGATTCACTCTGCCTAGAGGGGTGGGGAATGCTTCACCAGGGAGGAAATGCTTGAGCTGGGTCACAAAGGAGGAGTGGCAATTTGCCAAGTAGATGGTGGGAGAAAAGGCATTCAACATAGAAGGCAGAATATGTACAGAGGCAAGACAGTCTAACTCTTACTAGTCCGGAGAATTCTGAGTTGGTAGGAATGTAAGAGTTAAAGGTGTAGGGGGAGGCTGAGGGTGCGGAGCTTGGAGAGTGGGTAGAGGCTTTGTGTATCACACTAAAGAATTAAACAATAGGAAGCTGTGGAAAAGGTTTAAACCGGGTGTGACGTGATCAGATGTTTTAGAATGATATCGATCAGAGTGGTACAGGAATATTGTGAAAGGGAAGAGGAGAGCAGGCAAGAAAACCAGTTAGGAAGGACTTACAGTTGTCCAGTTGAAAGAGCCTGATGTTCTGAACTCCATCAGTAACTCCACAGAGCACTGGGTCTCTGTTCTGACTGGACCTCTGAATCATCTGTGCTTTCTGTTTTGGTTTTTTCATTTTTTAAATAATACATAGGGCCCTGTATCCCAGACTGAGGAACTGCCAGAATAGGGATGACTTCTCTCTGGACTATGCCTTACTGTGATTCTCCTAATTATAATGAGGAGGAACTTTCAGGACACTAAGAAACAGAGACTGGTGAGAGGAATTTTCCTGTCCATAGATTTTGTCTGAGAATAAGCTACGTAACACTCATATACTGTCTGTACTGCTTCCAGCCCTTCCGCAAAGATGAGATTTCCATAACCCTCCACCACCTTCACGGGCATGACCTGGTGATTGGGGATGTGGGAAAAGGGTAGCCAGCAAGAGGGGTTCTAACCCTTCTTATCACTTCCCATGGGGCAGAAATTGTGGGTCAGTGTGATATCAATCCTTTTATTATCTGAGATGTGTACAGTACTGATGTCCAGACTTGTCTTTTTTCATTCAAGTCATTAAAGGGAAAAAATTTCCCCCTATTCTCCAAAAGAAACATAGAAGGTTTGCTAGCATGATCTTTAAATATAGAAACTATCCTATAGATTTTATATTTTCTCCATCCTCTCTCTTGTCTATCAACTGAGGAGTAGGCACATGAAACTTTGCATTACCTACTTAAGAGTAGTAGATAATATTCAGATGTTAAGTAACATCCTGACAAACTCTTATTGGATTGAATTGTGATAAGCTTATGATGATAGAATAAAGCATTAATTAAAAGGTAATTAAGATTTTTCTTGATTATATTGTAGGTGAAATTATTTTGGCTCTTCTCCAGTTAGATCTTCTTGAGAAAACTATTATCATATACACTTCAGACCATGGAGAGCTGGCCATGGAACATCGTCAGTTTTATAAAATGAGTATGTATGAAGCTAGTGCCCATGTTCCACTCTTGATAATGGGACCGGGAATTAAGGCCAACCTACAAGTATCAAACGTGGTTTCTCTTGTGGATATTTACCCTACTATGCTTGGTAAGTAATGTAAGTCTGTAAATCTTTATTGGTAATAATGCTGGAGAATGAATAAACAAAGTAGTCAGAGGCCTTGCTGACTTGTTTATAACTTTGAGCAAATCCATTAACGGTGAGTCAATCCATAACTGAAATATGAGGATAATATTCCTCAGGTTCCTTTGGCCTTCACTCACTGTAGTGAATTTTCCTTCAAAAGATCCCCCAATCAGGATATGACCATAGAGTAAGCCATGTAAGATATTCAGGTTCATAACTTCATAGATATGATTTGTATATCATTTGATTCTCCACCTCCCTAAAATATAAGCATTTCCTTTCTTGATTATTTCATCCACTTTGAAACTACTAACTGTGTACAGTGTTAGCAAAGTCCCCTAATCTGATGCTATGAACATTTCTCCTGAGAATCTTTAGATTGTTCCATATTATCTGCTTAACTGGTTTCTTCAAGTCTATAAGCATAACCATAGGTCTGGAACAGCTCCACTGGGTAGTGTAGTTAGCAGTGTTTACTAAACTACTGCCTTCATCAAATCCAGAGAGAATGATGTAGAACTGTTAGTCTCTATGTAATTTAGCAGAGTACTTTAAATCCAATATAATTTAAATACTATAAAGAGCCATCAGTTACAAAAAGTACTCAATTTGTAAATAGATGATGGTGAAAGAAAAAGATAACACAACATAAGATATAAGTTTAATATATATATAAGATATATAATACAACATAAGACATATGTTTAATATATATATTAAAATGTGAAAGAAACATGTTCCTGAAACGAGTTCTTTCTATCACCTTCCTTCTGCTACAAAATCTTTCCCTTCATTTACTGAAAACTATTCCAGGGTCTTAAATTTCTGTACAGTTCATTTATATCAGTGTCCTTCCTTTTCTCTTTTATTTCACATCACTTCTTGTATATTGGAACATACTTTTTTTTTTTTTTCAAATCTTTATTGTTGGATGTAAAATGTATTACAGATGTTCCACATTTTTCCCCATTGATCCCCTCCTCCCCACTCCCTCCCCCCTCCCACCTTTTCCCACACTATTGTCTGTGTCCATTGGTTATGCATTTAAGTTCTTCGGTTTATTTCTTCCCACCCCCCCAACCCCTTTCCCTTTGAGGTTTGTCAGTCTAGCAGTGAATTTGTGCTTCTTAATCCCTTCACCTTTTTCACCCAATCCCCCAACCCCCTTCCCAACTGGCAACCAACAAAATGTTCTCTGTATCTATGAGAATGTTTCTGTTCTTCCTGTTCATTTTGTTTGTAGATTCCATTGTTGATAGATATGTATTCATTGCCATTTTGTTTGTTCATACATTTTATCTTTTTCTTCAAAAAGACCCTTCATCATTTCATATAATAACGGTTTGGTAGTGATGAACTCCTTTAACTTTTTCTTGTCTGGGAAAGTTTTTATATGTCCATCGATTCTAAATGACAGCTTTGCAGGATAGAGTAACCTTGGTTGTAGGTTCTTGCTTTTCGTCACTGTGAATATTTCTTGCCACTCCCTTCTGGCCTGCAAAGTTTCTTTTGGGAAATCAGCTGACAGCCTAATGGGAACTCCCTTGTAGGTAACTAGCTGCCTTTCTCTTGCTGCTTTTAAGATTCTCTCTTTGTCTTGAACCTTTTGCATTTTGATGATGATGTGTCTTGGTGTGGGCCTGTTGGGGTTCATCTTGTTTGGGACTCTCTGTGCTTCCTGGACTTGTATGTCTGTTTCCTTCACCAAGTTAGGAAAGTTTTCTGCCATTATTGTTTCAAACAGGTTTTCGATTTCTTGTTCTCTCTCTTCTCCTTCTGGCACCCCCAAGATGCGAATGTTGGCACGTTTGAAGTTGTCCCAGAGGCTCCTTACACTATCCTCATTTTTTTGGATTCTTTTTTCTTTTTGCTGTTCTGATTGGGGGTTTTTGCTTCCTTATATTCCAAATCAATGGTTTGCTCCTTGGATTTACATACTGTACTATTGAAGCTGTGTAAATTATTCTTTATTTCAGTTAATGCCTCCTTCAATTCTAACTGTGTATCCATGATTTCTAACTGGTCCTTTTTTATGCTCTTGAGGCCCTCCCTAAGTTCACTGAGGTTCTCACTAAGTTCATTGAGCATCCTTATAAGCAGTATTTTGAACTCAGTATCTGTTAGGTTGCTTATCTCCCTTTCGCTTAGTTCTTTTATTGGGGTTTTGTTCTGTTCTTTCATTTGGGACCTGTTTCTTTGTCTCCTCATTTTGGCTGCCTCCCTGTGTTTGTTTCTGTGTATTACTTAATGAGAGGTATGGGGCTCGCTGAGACCCGATGCTGCTCATTTGAAAGAATTTAGGAAAAACCAGAAGCAGGATCCAAGACCGGCCAATCCTATGGTTAAGCAAGTGGCAGCAGCTTGGGTGGGCTTGAAAGTTGTGTGGGGCAGGGCGGGGCCTCAGGGAGTCACGAGGGCGGGGCTACCAGTGTGAGCCAGGTTGCTGGAGTCCCAGATATGGCTTCTGTCTACCGCCCCCCGGGAAGGGCTCACCAAAGGAACAAAGGCCTCTTACAGCACGTTTGTCCCCGAGGAAGCCCCCTCTCCAGCCCTCGCTCCAGTGCCAAACAGCTCAGTTCTTCCCTGTATGTCTCTGGCGCCCCTGGAGCTGCCTCCCCTCCGAGCTTAGAGGGAGAGAGTCCGATAAGTCCGTGCGCGGGCCCTTTAGGGAGCTGCCTGGGGCTCCAGCCGCCTCAGCTTCCCTGAGCCTCAGTTTCCGCTGGTTTTTCCAGCCAGAAGTTATGGGGACTTCTCTTCCTGGCACTGGAACCCTGAGCGGGGCACCTGGTGTGGGACGGGGACCCCTCAGTCCTCAGGAAGGACCTTCCCAGCCGCGGGAGCCTCCTGATTTTTATCCGCCACACGTGGGTGTGGGACCAGCCCGTCTCGCCACCCCTCCTACCAGTCTGGATGTGGCTGCTTTTTTTTTTAATTCCGTAGTTGTAGGACTTCCATTCAGCTTGATTTCAGGCGGTTTTGAATGATGGTTGTTCTGTAGTTTAGTTGTAACTTTGATGTGGTTGTGGGAGGACACGATACTGCGTTTACCTACCCGCCATCTTGACCGGAAGTCCTCAGAACATACTTCTTTGTATGAGATTTTTAATCTCAATTTCTTTGTCACCATTTGCTGGTTCTCCTTCATCCCGAGGCACTTTTAACACTTAGCCATATCTTTGCCACTTTCTGGTTCCATCTGTTTTTAGCCAATTCCTATTACTTCTCCTTTCTGTTTTCATAAGAAATGTGTATGCAACTGTGCATATTTGTAAGTATCTGTCTTTACAGCTTCCTCCTCTAGTTTTTCCTGTTGCAAAACTCCCCACCCAACCCCATTTCCAACAAAAAGCCTCCTCGGGATCATCATATTTGATTAGCTTTTTAGCCTTGTTCTGTTTTCTTGAACTACAGTGATTACGACTGGGGTGGTTATTTCTCTGTTTTTCCTCATTATGGTATTTTGTTCATCTTTTTAACTGTAGCAGCTAAATAATCCAGTATTTTAGGGGGCTATCTACAGTATATTCTAGTCTGTTCATAGTCATCCTATCACCATATAGGTTAGTTGATTAATATGCATTGTTTACAGCATTTAAAAATATATTGTTTATTTTTCCAATAATGCAAATTTTTTACTTTATAATCTTGAGATAAAACAGTATGCACACTGTTTCTCAAAACACATACACCCATATCCAATTCTAAAGTTCCAATATTAGAAAATAACCTATAAACAGAAAGATTTATCTCCATGGATTTAAAACATTTTTTTAAAAATCCTCATCCAAGGATATGTTCTTATTGATTTTAGAGAGAGAGGAAGGGAAAGAGACAGAGAGAGAAACATCAATCGGTTGCCTCCCATACATGCCCTGACCAGGGATCAAACCCACAACCTAGGTGTGTGCCCTGACCTGGAATCAAACTCATAACCTTCTGGTGTTTGGGATGACTCTCCAACCAACTGAACCACTCAGCCAGGGCTCCATGGATATTTAGTATACTATTATCTTATCTATATTATATTATATTATATTATATTATATTATATTATATTATATTATATTATATTAAAAAATTAGAAACAATATGAATATCTAGTAGTAATACATTGGGTAAAAAATTAGTCAACTTTATTTTAAAAGGTGAAAATGGCCCCCATGTAGTATTGAAAAGAAAATGTAGGCTTTAAAACAATATCAACAGAGATTTTTTTTGTTTTATTTGTTTGCTTATTGAGATAGGATACTTAACTTTTAATAGTAAAAGGGTGCTAGTAACAGTTATAACTAAAAATAAAAATAAATCCAGATTTTTTGAATTGTGAATTGTGAAAATGTAATTATGTAAAAATACAGTTATGTTTAAATGTGTACTTAATTCTAGTGACTTAAATTGCAAAACCCTCATTGTTACGGGATCTTAGTAGAGGGTCGGGAAGGGCATTCTACATAGACTATTTTTGTTTTGTTTTATTTATTTTTCAACTATAGTTGACATATAATATTAGTTTCAGGTGTACAACACAGTGGTTAGACATTCATTTAGCTTCCAAAGTGATCACCCAGTAAGTCTAGTACCCACCTGACATCATACATAATTATTACAATATTTTTTACTATATTCCCTATGCTGTACTTTATTTACATTCCCATGGCTGTTTTATAACTGCCAATTTGTACTTCTTAATCCCTTGTCCCTTTCACCCAGCCCCCAAACCCCCTTCCATCTGGCAGTCATCAATTTGTTCTCTATATCTATTAATCTGTTTCTGTTTTGTTCATTTTGTTTTTTAGATTCCACATAAAAGTGGAATCATACAGTATTTGTCTTTCTGTCTTACATATTTCACTTAGCATAATACCCTCTAGATCCATCCATGTTGTTGCAAATGGCAAAAGGGAATCCTCGTCCCCTGTTGGTGGGATTGCAAATTAGTACAGACTATTTTGTTTTTATTGGCTGTAAACTACTGTAAAGTTGAATAACTACAGTAAAGCAAGACAGTGGTGGGCTGCCTAAATTCAAATCCCTCCTTTGGTATTTACCAACTGTTTGGCCCTGGGCAAGTTACTTAATATCTCTGGTCTTCAAGTTTCTTATCAATAAAATGGAAATAATAGGGCCTGTTCCATGATTTAGAACAATGACTAGGACACGGTAAACAATTAAATATTATATTTATTATGATTAATTTTTTTTAATTTTTCTTGGGTATGTCCTTAACATGTACATAGTTTGCACCATTGCGATACCAGTCTAATTCCTTATCTCTTCATATGATCAGGAAGAAACATAATCTTTTCTCACTTTAGGAAATTATCACATATATCCAGGTCTGCATTTTTACCCATTACTGTTTTAAATTTAAGTCACTTTATTAAGAATCCTGTAGTTAGTTTTAATCTTTGCTTATACTTCCAAGAAAGATAAAATTTACTTAAAATTGAATTAGAGTGACAGATTTGCCAGAAAAAACAATGAAAAATGGTTTTAAAGAAAGGTCAGTGAGCTTTTTGAAAAGCAGTTTAAGCTAAAGTGCTTTTAAGGAAATTATTGATAAATACATGAGAAGTGAATATGTAGTTTCCTGAGGCACAGAAAAGTTAATAAATATGTAAGATATTTATTAAATACTATGGATTTGACATGGGTTTTATTCAACATCAATTTACAAAGGTATAGTATTCTACTAACAATAATAGACTGGAAATGGGTCACATCATCTCTTGCCTGGACTCCTGCAATATAGCTTCCTAACCCCTACTACCTTCTACCTGTGCCCACTTTTACTCAATTCACCATACAGTAGTTAGTGTAAGACCATATCACAATTCTGTTCAAAATCCTGTACTGGTTTCCCATTTCCCTTAGAATAAAACCCAAAGTCTCTCATTGGGCACGGGAGTCCAACATGATCTCTTCCCCTCCCCAATTCATCCTTTACAATGTTACCCCTCACTTACTCTGCTCTAACCCCACAGGACATCTTGGTGTTTGGAGAATGAACCAGTAGATTCCTGCCTCAGGGTTTTTACACTTGCTATTCCCTGGGCTATCACCTTTCCTCCAGCCATATATAGGGCTCACTCTAGCCTTTCCTCCAGTCTCTATTAAAATGTTACTTCATCAGAGAGGCCTTCCTTGACCACACTATATAAAACAGCACGTCGACACATACCTGTCATCATTCTCTATCTCCCTTATCCTACTTCATTTTTCTTCATTACACTTATTACCCGCTGACATATTGGTATGTCTCCCCCATCAGAATGTCAGCTCTAAGCGACCTTACCTGCTTTGTCCATTGTTTCCTTCCTAGTCCTGGGACAGAACCTCGTTTGTTGAACAAATGAAAAAAAATTATGCTTAATGTACTGTTATCCCAGCTTACTACTCACTTCTCATACAAGCACAGGAAAATCATGTCATTTTTCTTAGGAAAATTAGGCTAAGAATGGATATGAAATAAGGTATGTCTAAGTATTAGTTATTAAGATAGCTACTTCCCAGCTATCTTCAAAGTCCTCTTCTCTCCCTTCCTGTGCCTTGCTAGTGGTGCCACCTGATGGCTGGCACACTTACCCGCCTCATGACCAGACCCAGCCTATTCCCTCACTGCTTTGTTTCCTTCCAGTAGACCTTGCAGGAAACAGCCTACTGTCTGGTAGTGTGATTCCTCTCATCTTGGGTAGTCCCTTCTCTCACCCATGTTCCCTGCAATGTCTTTCCTCTTCCTTATCCCTGTTTTTATGATTATTTTTTTTTTCCTTGGGTATGTCCTTAACAAGTACATAGTTTGCACCATTGCGATACCAGTCTAATCCCTTATCTCTTCATATGATCAGGAAGAAATATAATCTTTAAACTGGTTTTTAACCAGTTATCTCTGAAACAGGCTTGCCTGCCTGTCTTTCTCTCTTTCTCTTTCTCTCTCTCTCTCTCTCTCTCTCTCTCTCTCTCTCTCTCTCTCTCTCTCCCTGTATTTTTATTTCTTTCTTTCTACTTCCCCCTCTCCTCTCCTCCCCTTCTGCCTCTTTCTCTCTCTCAAAAAATGCCCTGATTATGATTGGTTGGCAGAAGATTTGTATTTGCAATATGCCCCTTCCAAGAAAATGGAAGACACAGAATTTTTAATTGCTATATGTAAAACAGGTACCTTCAGAACACTTGATGAGGTCTTTGTCTATATTCTTATTATTCTTTAATTAACCAGGTTTTCCTCAAATACATTCAAGTTAAATTAATTTCCATATTCAATTTTGTTTAATTTCTACCAATGCAGATATATTACTTTCTGTTTTTCATTAGAAGTATTTTAATTATACTTAAAAACATAGAACACTGAAACCAGAAAAGGGTGGAGAGGGCAACTACAGACTCTTTTGGGAACTACCCTGAGTACCCAGCCATTAATTATGGTAATTTTTCTATAGGAAAAAAGTTTGAATTTTTTTAAAAAATCTTAAAAGCAATATTTTACATTACATTATAAATACCTCTTTTTTTACAACTTCTTTTTAAGTTAGACATTTCTCATGCTATTGTTTATAGATATTTGATGAAAAACACAAATTATTTTTCCCTAAATCAGCATAATCAAGGATTTCCCAACATATGTTCTGCAAAATACTAACATCTCAAGGTACTACTTGGGGATAAAAAAGGTCTGTCATAAAATAACTTTGGGACACATCACACTCTATACCACCTCCAAAGGTTTAGGGTACATAGCAGTCAATTTACATCTACAATAACTTTACTTATGTAATTGTAACCATTGTTTGTAAATATGTGTGACTAATAAACCCCTTTTTCATATAGGTCTTATTAATATCTCATGGAACAAATATGAGAAACAATTGTGATTATTTAATAGTTAGAAATAAAGTATTGATGATATTAATATTTTTTGAGGGTTTCCTGTGTGCCAGGCACTGGTCTCAGAATTTTACATAAATTATCATATTGAAACCTAAAATAAGCCTGTGAAATGCAGGTATTACTATTATTCCCCTATTACAGATGAGAAAACTGAGGTTCAAAGTAGTTAATAACATGCCCAAGCATGGCTACTGGAGTAAGTACTTTGATCCAGGCAATCTACTCACAAAATCCATGTACAGTCTCTAGTCTCTGTGACCTTTAATGATGTCATTTATGAATCTCTAACTAATGAAAACATGAGTTATTTAAAAATATTACATTATTTGTATTATAGATATTGCTGGAATTCCTCTGCCTCAGAACCTGAGTGGATACTCTTTGTTGCCATTATCATCAGAAATGTTCAAGAATGAACATAAATTCAGAAACCTACATCCACCCTGGATTCTGAGTGAATTCCACGGATGCGATGTGAATGCTTCCACCTACATGCTTCGAACTAACCAGTGGAAGTATATAGCCTACTCTGACGGTGCTTCAGTACCTCCTCAACTCTTTGGTAAATTTGTTGATATATTTCTTTTTTTCTTTTATGTATTTTTTTTTTAATCCTCACCCGAGGATATTTTTCCATTGATTTTCAGATAGAGTGGGAGTGAGGGAAGGAGGAAGAGAGAGAGAAACATCAATGTGAGAGAGACTTTGACTGGTTGCCTCCTGCACGACCCCACCCAGGGCGGGGGATGAACCACAACTGAGGTACATGCCCTTGATCTGAATCGAACCTGCGACTCTTTGGACTGCGTGCTAATGCTCTAACCATTGAGCAAAACTGGCCAGGGCTATTGACATATTTCTTAAGTGAATATGGTGTGTAATGAGCTGACCTACATAGTGTTGCCTCAGAGATCCAGTAATCATTATTAAATAAAAATCTGCTGCTCCTCAGGCTGGGACAGTCTACAAAAGGTTGCCCATGTAAGGAGCACCTTCTTTGCAAATCACCATCTGAATGCCAGAGCAAGTACCCTAAAGCTTTTTGATCTGGGACTCAACATTGAAACCACTTTTTCTCTGATCAAGCCTGTCTTCTAATACTCACGGTTATCTTTCCCGATCAGTAGTCAACACCCTCTTATTGTACCTTATTGTACCTTGGTTCTGGAGGATTGACACCTATATCTTATGGAGCCTGGCATCTTACTTACATTATTTAATGTCCCCCTCAACCCAACAAGATGATACTAGTATCCTCATTTTATAGAGATGATCAGGGGTCAAAAAGATTCAGATACCTGTGCAAGATCTCACAGCTAAGAAGTGGCAGAAAGGGTTTCAGCCCTCTTCTGACTCCAAAACCCATGCTCCTTTCACCCAGCAATAATACCTCCTCGTTTCACTATTCTATGAATTCATTTCAAAAGAGCATTATTAGAATTAAGGTTTTACTTATCCCTTCCCCCTTTTTGCACATAAAATATGTGCTAATGTAATTATTAATATTCATTTCTCCAACTTTGTTTCCTTCCCAGTTACAAATGTCAAAATTATTAACTCAAAAGAACTCGTTAGTTTGGGGTTATTGATATGGGACAATAAAAACATACTTTTTTTTCTCTGCCTGTCAAAGTAAGCAAGGCATCAAAATCAGAAAGCACTGGGGCTAAGCCAGCTTACTGGTGACAAGGGCTTGACTGTTTCTGCCATCCAAGGATGGATAAGAAAAAAATGGGATAGCAGGATGATGGTAGGAAGGAAGATAATTTGAACATACATTTAGAAAGGTGTTTAACTTTTGGTGTACTGTTTTACCATTTATATTGGCCTTCATCTTACTATACTAAGAGGAATCAAAAATAAAAATAAATTCTAATACATTATCTGTCACTGAGTAATGATACTTTAATAAATGTTCTTGTCACAGGTAATTATTTTGACAGGTATTTAATTTTTTTCCTTTCAGATATTTCCTCAGATCCAGATGAACTAACAGATATTGCTGCAAAATTTCCAGAAATTACTTATTCTTTGGATCAGAAGCTTCGTTCCATTATAAACTACCCTAAAGTTTCTGCTTCTGTCCACCAATACAATAAAGAGCAGTTTATCAAGTGGAAACAAAGCACAGGGCAAAACTATTCAAACGTTATAGCAAATCTTAGGTGGCATCAAGACTGGCTGAAAGAACCGAGGAGGTATGAAAGTGCAATTGATCAATGGCTTCAAACCCACACTAGTCCCCCCAAAATCTGAACAAAATAAGAAAATAATGTTCTGGAGCTATGTAGAAATATGTTAAAAGATCATAATTAATTAATTATGTGTTTTAAATGTTAGTTTTAATAATTACTGATTTTTACTTTTAAAGAATGTAAACTATTTTTTAAAAAATCATTATAGAGCCCTGGCCGGTTTGGCTCAGCGGTTAGAGCGTCGGCCTGCGGTCCTGAGAGACCCGGGTTCGGTTCCCGCTAAGGGCATGTACCTCGGTTGCAGTTTGTCCCCGGCCCTGGTTGGTTGTGCGGGTGGCAGCCACTCGATGTGTTCCTTTCACATCGATGTTTCTCTCTCTCTGTGTTCCTCTCTCTCCCTCCCACTCTACCTGAACAAAAAAATGGAAAAATGTCCTCGGGCGAGGATAAAAAAATAAATAAATAAATAAATGAAAATCATTATAGAATTATATATTTTAAAAAATGATTACTATTAACATTTTTCTTAGCAACTTCTAACAACTTAGTGGAAATATTAAAAGTATGGAAGCAAATAGAATATAAAGTTATATTCCTCTGAATAATAGGGAATGTAGAATAACTTTAACTATTACTGATTATTACTTATGAGCCACAAAAAGTAATTTGTGAGTATTTGATGGTGTCTGATAAATTATTTGTTTCTGATGAGACATGGACTAAAATTTGTGTTTATTTGATGGGAGTATTTGGAATAACTGATGGTACATAGACCCTGGCTATGGCTGCCTTTATTACTGTTTTTTTTTAAATAGGTAATATATGTACAAAGTACAAACTTTGAAAAGTACAAAGGAGTTAACAGTGAGCATGAAGTCTCCCTTCTTTCCCAGCCCCCTAACCACCCAGTTCCCTTTCCTGGAGGCCACTACTGTAATTACCTTCCTATGTATCCCTGTAGAGAAAGACCATAGATCTACAAATGTTATATCAACACACACACACACACACACACACACACACACACACACACAAATGGTAGCGTACTATACAAAATGTTCTGCATCTTACTCTCTTTTCTTTCCCCACTTAACAATAGATACCTAGAAGTGAAATTGCTGGGGCAAGACCTATGCCTAGCAAAATTACACTAAATACTACCAAATTACCCCTAAAGAAAGTATACCAACTTAAATTCTCACCCAGCAACTCATGCTCTCGTGTCCTTTGCCAAACTGATATATTAAAAATATATTATTACTTTTATTTTTATGAGTAGGATATATTATATTTTCATATCTTTAATAGCCATTGGAATTTCCTTTACTGTGACCTTTTCTATTTTTCTATTCTTTTCCCATTTTTCTTTTGATGGCATGCTTTAGATATTAGCTCTTTGTAATAAAAGCTGAAAAAATTGTTTTCATTTTGTAATTTGTCTTTTGACTTTGTTGTGGTGTTTTTGACATGCAGAAGTTGGTATATTCATGCAATCAAATTAATGAGTGTTTGCTTTTGTAGCTTTGGGGTTTTGTGTCATATATATTTAGAATGGTCTTCCTGACTTATTTTCTTTTAGAGTTTTATTTTTCATCCTTAGATCCTTGATCTATCTGAAATACTTACCAATTAGATATCCAACTTTAGTGTTTTATAAGATGGCCACCCAACTGACCTTTCACTGAATAAACTAACATTTGTCCCATTGGTTAGAAAATGCCACTTAATTATATAATATCTTGCATTGAATACATTATCTTTTTCTTTTTTTCCTTGAAAAGCCATTTTAGCATATATCAATGTCTCATTTACATTTGAGTCCTTTCAGAAGATTTTTTTATTTTGTGATGGACCATTCTAATTTGTTTATTAGTGTGGTAGTCAATATCTGGTCAGACTAGTCCTTTTGCAACAGTTTTCTTTTTCAGAATTTCCCTAGCTACTCTTGCTAACTTAATTTTTCCATACAAATTTAAAATAAGTTTGGTTTGAAAAGTGAAAATTTTTTATTTCTTAGTCTTCTTATGAATCATATTAAATTTATAGCCAAATTTAGGGAGAATTGAGTTCTTTATAATATTTAATTATTCTAAAGAACAGAATATGCTTTCCCTTTATTCAAGTCTTCTGTTATAACATTCAGTAGTATTCTGAGTTTTCCTCAAATAGGTAAGTTTCTTCATAGAAATATTTGGAAAGTAGGGATCTTTAAACATATACTACCTAGTCCCCACCCCATACCAACTGAATCAGAATTCTAGGAATGGCACCTGGACAGTTTTGTTCTTGTTGTTTTGTTTATTACACTCTCCAGCTAATAATCCTAATGTGTAGCCAGGGGTGAGTTTATTCCTAGTTGTTTTATCCTTTGTTGTTGGTAGTGCTATTGTTAAGTGGATCTTTCTTCCATTATGTCTTCTAACTGGTTATTCTTTATATATGCAAACTCTGTTGCTATATGTTTATTTTGTACCAAACTATTCTATTGTTTGTAATAGTTTTTCAGTTGGTGTCTTATATTTTCCAGGTACAAAAGCTAATCTGCAAATAATAATTTTACCTAAATTCCTTTTTCAAACTGTCCTTGAAGTTTTCTTTATGAGCCAGTTCATCTCCTTTATTTTATGGTTCTTCAGTGAACTTGTATGAGCTTATCTTTGTACTTGCGTATGAATTTCTGAGAAATAAATTTCACTTCAGGTATATTCTGAAGTAAAACCCTTAAGAAAAAGATCTCAATCTTAGAATATTATGTTAAAATTAAAGTATGCAACTCTACCTTCCATCTCCTAATTAAAACCAAAGAACACAATATAGCTAATGTGTGGGTATATGTGCTAATTTTAGGGAAGAATAAAACAATCATAGAAATATAATTCTGAAAACACAGGCATGTGAAGATAAATATAATCCACCTTTTTCTACCAAACCCTTTAATATGCATCCATTGTTAGAATTTACCAAGCATGTGTAATATTTTAGGCATGTTAAGTACAGGATCACAATTAGGTACAATTGAATTTTAAGGACAATACCTAATTCAAAATGGCATGTAACAATCACAAAAAAAAAAAAAAACAGAAAAGAAGAAAAACTTGCAAAACTAAGACAAATTATCTAATGCCAGAATCTGAGAGAAACCAACACAAGCTATAAACTGGACTGAGGGAAATATTTGGGCTTCTTTTTTTTACTACCTCCACTACTACCATCCTGTTACTACCATAATCTGTTTAGAATTTTGCAATAGCCTCCTAAGAGGTCTCCCTGATGTACCATGGCTTTCTTCAGTCTATTCTCACCACAGCAACTGGAGTGATTCTGTTAAAATATATCCCATCACATCACCGGATACTCAAAACCCACAACGGGTTTCCCCATCTTACTCTGTAAAAGCCAAAACCATCGATTGAGCAAGATGGCAGCCTCCGAGACTGTTAGACTATGGCTTCAATTTGATTACCTGCCGCCAGCCACCCCGCACTGCATGGACTTCTGGCTTCTTGTCGACTTGAACAGATGCCCGGTAGTCGCAGATCTCATTAGTCTCATCTGCCAGCATCTTTGGCTTCAGTTCCAGGGCCCCCCTCACCCTCTACTTGGAGGGGGCGCTTCTGCCCCATGGCAAGAGTGGGCACCTGGTATGAGACAATGATTGCCTCGGAGTTTAATTAAATTAGAAGACAGAGAAGTTGCTGAGAATCCCGTAATAGTCAGTAATGGTGATAGTACTTATTTCTTACCTAGGAAAGCAAAGAAGTGGTCATTTAGGTTGGAGGAGGATGAAGAAACTGATTACAGAAATTCAAAGAAGCATTGGAAGAGACAAGAGAATGATAACGAGAATACCTTGGATATAGAACAAAAAACTGTCACAAATCAGAAAGTGAGGGGAAAAAACAAGAGGAAAAAGAAAGCTCCATGTGTTGTAGTAGATGATGTTGGAGAGACAAAAAGAAAATCACCGAAGAAGAAGAAATGTGTGTATAGAAAACAGAGGAAGAGTCCCAAGTCTTCTAAAGCACAGACAGGGAAAGGGTGGACTGTTGAAAATTGTAGTCCTCCAAAAGGCTCTCCTGCTAGAAACAGCCTGGTTAAAGCCAAGAGCAAAGGTGGCGTGGGCGTTCATACAAAAGATAGTCCCAGTTCCTCCTCGGAGTCTGAGTCTTGTCATGAGTCAACCAGCAATGGTCTCAAAAATGTCATCTTGGAGGTCAGAATGTCCTCAGAGAAGGTGTCAACTGTATTATCAATGGAAGGGCCCTCTATAAAAAACACAACTGCAAACAAAATAGCTACAGAAACTGGCTCTAACTCTGCCCTCATCGAGGATGAGACTGTCAGAACATCATCTAGTTCAGACTGGTTCAGAGTCAGATGACCAATGCATGGTGTCAAAGAGCCGCTTGGGGAAGGCTGAGCCGCTTGGGGAAGGCTGCCGGGCTCTTAAAGACAGGAAGAGGTCCAGGTCCAGGGTCATCATCACAGACTGCAGATGCCTCAGGATGGAAGCATTCTGACTCAAATGGTGGCAAACAGGCTCCTGGTCCTCCTCCCAGTGTGACTCTCCCTGGCGGTTTGGGAAGAGATTGGGATAGAAGAGAGGACCTTCTTTCTTGCAAGGGAGTTAGGGGTCAGGGCATTCGGGGGAGAGGTCGAGGATGAAGACTTGCTCTTCCCCATGTTTTAAATAGAGATGCTGACTATCAGAAGCAGCAGCATTTAAATGAAATGGTAACAAACTCATCTACTGTTATCCAGAATCCAGTAGAGACACACAAGAAGGACTACAGTCTGTTACCACTGTTAGCAGCTTCCCCCCAAGTTGGAAAAAGATTGCATTTAAGGAAGGAAAAATATTAAGCCACAATCCAGAGACCCAGCAAGTAGATATAGAAATTCTTTCATCTGTACCTGTTTCAGTCGTGAAAGAACCTGGGAAATTCTATTTGGTTTATCACAACAAAAATGGATCTGAGGTAGTGGAGTACGCTATGACACAGGAGAGAAAGATCACTGTTTTTTGGAGACAGTTGATTGATCCAAGACTGATCATTGAATCTCAGAGTAATAAGACATCAAGTACAGAACTTGCCTGACTAGGACCTGTCCACCTCATAGTTTATAAATGCCTTGTTTGTGAAAGTGACTATAACCTGAACTTAA